AAACAAAAAGTCATGATTGATGAAGCCTTTTTGGAGCCTGTAAAGAGTGATTTTCATGCACATTTACAGCATCCTTTCATGCAACAAACAAAACTGAAGTTCTTGCTTTGTAACCTGATTGATGAAAGCGAAAATTCTTCAATACTGAAAAAGTGGCTGTATCACGCAATGAGGTAGGCGATATATTGGAAAAAAAGTTGTATTTGAAGGCGACGTTCTAACTAATGAACGGGTATTCAGCTCAACAAAATAGTATGACAGGAGTTCAAAAACTTCAAGGAGGTCTTCACAGGTAGATAGACTTCCTTTTGGTATTGAAGCTGGTTCAGTTTGAGTTTTATTAAAGTTCCTGTTATATTGAAAGTGAGTTTATTAACACTTGTTTTTGCCATAAATTAACATACCATATTAATTTTCTGATTAAAGGTTAGGGGGTATGCTTATCACAAGACAATGGCTTACCATTTGTCTGATCAGGTATAGATATACTGGGGGTTATTGGCAGATAAGATACAGTAAGTTCAGGTTTAAAAATCAATACTGATGTGTTTCTGTTAATCTGACCTTTAACATATCTTAGCAGTTCCTAAGAGGGGCTGAAGTTATTGTAAAATACAAAAAGGAAAAGGAGACACGCCAGTGTTTTTGGCCCGGTAATTTCTGTAAGATTTTTACAATCTATTAATGCTTGAGTAATAAAGCTTTACAATTTTCGAAATTCTAACATTGAAAGGGCTAACCTCCCCAGAGCAAAATTTGATATCATTTATGAAAGGAGACACTAGTGTTGATATATCTTAATCACTATTTGGTTGGTGCAAATTTTCTACGCTTTTGTTAGAAATAATAATTTGACATTTTTAATTCACACTAAATGGTAAATGTATAACTTTTTTTACTAGCTATTGTATATATTAAAAAGAATCGGAGGAGGTGGCCGCAACAGTTATCACGTACGTATAAAACCTACAGTATTACTTCTAAATTGTGTTCATGTTGGTAGAATACACCAAAGTACTTCTGATAAAGCAGACGTCACGTTTGCATTACAAACGCCGACAAATTACTTGTAGCCAATGTCATAGTTCATGTTAGCTGTAAGTTGATACATGAATATATAATTAGAATTTTATTTGCAAAATGAGAATTGAAATCACCTTTTCAAACCGTATACAGCAGCATATGACGTGGACAATCAACATCAACAAAGAAATGAGTGAGATTTTTTATTCGTGTCACCACTGGTTATACGGGATGTGACTGTAGGTAGTCATGCCTTTTGATATTATGTACATTAAAAATACATTTGTGACACATCATCTGTATGTATTGGGCACCATTGTTACAGAGGTTATTATTTATTAATGCCTCTGCTAGAATATTTAATCTAGCTTACCTACAAAAAGCACTTATGTACTTACTTAGCTCCAGGAAAAAATTTGTTCTGACATTTTTAGCTTATTTAGTCCAAATGACCGGTAACCTGTGGTGTTATGCCATTGTGCGGTATCCTTTGTCTTGTAAGGGTAACTGCCACTGGCCCTTTTCATGATATTAACATTGTCTTGGGACAACTAACCCAGTGGCATGGAAACATGTATAGTGACGGTTAGTTGTGCATGCTGAGTGACAGCAGTTTAGTTATGACCATCCATCAACATCGCAAGTGCTCTACCCATTTGATTTCGCGTTAAGCGTGGCATCTAAGTCAATGGCGGGTTAAAATGAAACTTGGGACAATATTACATTGTAGTTTATGTTACAAAAATATGCATTAAGAATTCTTTCATTTTATTCAAGCATTATTTCCATTTGTCAATCTGAGGTATTAATTCACTTTCATGTCATGTCATGTTCAGCCGTGGATGGTTACAGACCATTTGGAAGTGCTCATGTAAATATTGCAAAGAGTTAAGTAAAATATCATGTTTGGTTGATAAGAGAATGAGTTCAAATATTTCATGTAAAAACTGGTAGCAGCTGATCATTTTCAATGTAATTTATTAATGTCATTTATCTCTCAAGGTGAAATCATAGATTGCAATACTGTAACTGCATAATAAAATTGGTACTGAAATGATTATTACAAGTTAAACATGTTGGCTCCCAACATAGGCATTTTGGAATCTATCATTCATGATCACAATCAATTTGTGTTTTTTCATCTTTGTATAATTGTACAATTTGGACAGTTACAGCATAATAATTTTAAGACACACATTAAATATATATATATATAAAGAAAAAAAAAGAAAAAAACACACACTTGCGTATCGTCATTAACTATGCTTTTTATACATACATATAAATATATATATTAGGCTTCAACTAGTTACTTATGTGAAACCTTACATTTCTCTTTCATTCTGGTCATAATTTATAGAAATAAGTCAGGTGGTCAGCTTTAACATGTCAAGAAACTTTTGTGGTGGAGGTTTATCTTAAGTGTTTATTACCGCATACAGTTTATATATTTCAAAATATCTTTACCATCTACAAGTGTGTGGATGTGATATTTTTGTTTCCTTTTTGTAAATTCTGCCCCAAATACTGTGTCCTCTCCACGTAACTGGACTTCAAGTTTTTTACGTACTCCTGGATGTTGTCACCATCACTGAACGTTCATAATTTGCAACAGTTGTTTACCTGCAATCTTAAGAACTCCGACTGGACACTCGTAACTCCTTGTCCCATTAGCATGTAGTTGTATTGTCTTGCGAAGCTACAAATAGCTGAACAAACTGAAAAGACAGTTCTGGATACCTGGCTTTCGGAAATTCCTACACGGTCGCTAACCATACGGATAAAATACCAGCTCACTGGAATCGAAGGGTCAAAAGCACCTGTTCTAATAATTCCTGTGTATTGGCCTGACAATCTTTTTCTGTATAAGACCCACTTTATACAATACTGTCTCGTAGGAAAAACAATACCTCGAAAATGGGTCTGCTCCGGACAGTTCTTCAATATTTACGCGCGGTAGGAAAACATCGTTTCCTGTCTTCTTCGACTTCTAATTATTGCAATAATAGTCATCTTAAGAAAATTTTAAAGGTTTCTATGTTGCTCCCTCAAACAAATGAGGAAACTCTCTAATTTATTCGCAGATAACAACATATTTTGATTTTAAACAAGCGAACTATTGGAAAATCTCATTCATGACTGAAAAAAATGTTTGAGTTGAGGAAGGTTCGTGCAAGCTATTTTGAGAAATCTCAAGTTATTTGAGGAAATCCTCAAAGTGAAGGTATTCTCAGTTCTTAACTGCCTGGATAGTTTCATGAAAGCGGGGCCTGGTCCAAAGGACCGTTGGGCTTACCGTGTATGTCTTATTATTGAATTTCACAAGTGCGTCAACAATATCGTGTACCAAGTTACCACAGATATTAATCACTCTTATTAATGAGATATAGATGATTTTCCCTTATTTTTTCACACACTATGATGAATTATATCTTTGGTAGAAACCAATATCACTGACCAATCGTAAATAAACGTTGTGATATTTACATCGATAAATATCACATAGTTCTCTTTCAAAATCAAGCGATTTTAATGTGCGTAAATCCATGAATACTTGGACATCTAACAATTAAATATTGATCTCCGGCAACATCATAACATAAGCTCAAGCAATTACGCTAATCGTTTGTGGTATTGAAGAGTCATTAGAAATTCATTGCATTCGTTATGATGGAAATGTATCCGTACTCTGTCCATGTTAAGACATGTGAAACATCATTTCAGTTTACTGTTAATGTAAATATGAACTAGCGGGATATATAGCCAGTTTCCGGAAGTGAAGAGACGAGATCATTTTAAGGAAATTTCTTAAGTCACTCTTAATTATCTTCTTTGGGTCGAAACCCCTGGCGGGGACCAGGAAGTGTCTTTTTAACCAAAGTTCAATTCTAAATATTCATATATGTCAAAAGAATCAAAATCAGAAATAAATATTGCCTCTGTCTGATCTGAATTGTCTAAAACCCAATTTGTCGACTATAAGGTTGAAGACTGAAGATCCCTATTCAAGTTAGTTTGAAGACGAGCAGATGATTCAAAGACACAACTAATGTATATCAAAACAAGAGCGAGCCCTAAAAAAAACCACGCTTTATGTTCGGTTTTAGTGAAAATATTGTTTTTAGTGGAACATACAAAAACAATCATTGATTATGAAGTTCCAACTTCAGTGAATGAGTCTCCAATAAGATCTTAGGTAAGATGACAAACATTCTTCAATTTTATCATGAACATTTTCAACATCCACATGGGATAGCGACTAAGCTATAGTTTAGGAAAAGATCGTTCACATCATAATTAGAAATAATATTATAAAAAAATGAAAATCTGCCCTCTTATTCACACAGATTTCATGCTTATTTGTAGGTCTGAAAGGACAAGAAATGCTGATACAAACAGTACAACAATCCAGGAACCGAAATATCTATCGATTGTTATAGGAGAATCAGTACAGAAAAGCATTGAGTAGGCTTAATTTAGAAAACCGGACGTAGGAGGGCTTGCAAAATTACCTAAGGTAGAGACTAATCATGAAAGCGACTCTGGGTATGGCTGACTCGAACGGTAGATATTGATGAATACGTCCTGATGTCACCAGTATAATTGATACGAAAGTCCTTTTAGTGATCTGAAATTAAAAAAAATAAACTCAGCTTATGTAAAAAGCAATCTATACTGATACAAGCAAACTACAAACGTGAGATAATCCCAGACCGGAAGAACGAAAACCTTTCATAGAATTTTTTTCAATAGCTAATTGAGGATTGACGAGACACACTGACGGCAATTGCTCGTCCTTTTTGTCTGACAGATGCTGTAAATGGATGCATGGAAACACCCCTTCGTCATACTTATTTCTAGATAAAACCGATTTCATCCTCCCTGGTTCTAACGTTACTGACAAAATGCAGAGTATTTTGAGGTGTTTTATTTGGTATGTACTTTGTTTTTCCAATTATGCAATTTCGGAATACAAAATGGTTGCATTCTTTCGAAATACAGACGGTTACACGAATGACACTACCGGCTACACTCTTGTGGAAAATTTGAGTGGCACACCCTCTCTACTGGCCTGTGCAAATGTCTGTGGTGCTCAGGATTGTGACGCTTTCGATTTCGAGGATTCCACGAAAGAATGTCGACTAATTCATCACTCAAGCAAAATTTACCAACCTTTGATAAGCATTTTTATCAGATGTTTCCAATGTGACTGTCTGCCAGCAGGAAGTTCATCGTCAGTTTACACACTGACTATACCGCAAGGTCTTGTGTTTGATGCATACTGTGACATGGAAACTCTTAACGGTGGATGGCTTATTTTTCAAAGAAGATTTAACGGTAATCAGGAGTTTCTTAATAATTGGCAAGATTTCAAGAACGGATTTGGTGATCCTTATGGCGAATATTGGCTCGGAAATGAAAAGATTTATCGCCTTACTTCAGTCCAAACATATGAACTTTACATAGAAATGGAAGATGAAGCTGGTCACACTAAATACGCTAGATACAACTCCTTCTCCCTTGCCTCTGAAAGCGACCGCTATCGTCTTTCTGTGACCGGGTTTACTGGAAATGTTACTGATAGCATGCTTTATAACAACGGATATCGTTTTACCACCAAAGATATGGATAATGACATACGTCCCAACGCGAACTGTGCAAACGTCTTCAGGGGTTCCTGGTGGTACCGTAGCTGTCATCACTCTAATTTGAATGGGTTTTACAGCCCAACGCCTGGGAATAATCCTGACACAATGTGCTGGAAAAACTTTACAGGAACCGTGGAATTCACGTCATTACGGAAGTCAAAGATGATGATTCGACCTGTGACCTGACGTATGCGGTAATTTCAGTGACAGTACATCAACTGTTTTCTGTATAGACTTTGTTTTCAATGTTCACTTACATCTTGCAAGAAAGCAAAGCATACAAAGCAAACTCGTATGTCTGAAAGATAGTCAGTATGCTATGTATACACACGGGTAGGTTAAAACACCAGCCCCTTATATCTTGGTATTTGGGACGTCAACGTGGCCTCAAACTGTTTCAATCTGGAATTTGGAAAAGGAACCAGACATCCGTATCGTTGGCGTGCATCAACAAAGCATGGAAGAAATAACTTAGTGTTACTTAAAAGTATCGTTGGATACAGAAAGCTTATGAAACAATGAATGCAAGCTCTCGGGTCCCTGATCAGAGAATGCACAAGAAAATTGTTCTGAAGACAAGGTAAACCACTGAACCAAGTGGACGCTCTAATCTTAAGGCCAAACGCTATAATTTGTTCAATTTTGAAGAGAGCCGTATATTGTCAAGTAAACTTATTTGTCTTTATGTTCTTTACTGTCATATAATTCTGATTTTCAGATATTTTAACCAAAGCCTAAAGATTGATACAATATTTCACTTATTTTTTGCCAATTTGACCCTGAATATAACCTTCACGCACGTGCAATGATTTAGTTATGACTACTAAAAAGCATTATTTATTTCAAAACATGGAAGGCTATGAAAAGCTATCAAAACATATATATTCAGCATTTTGTAAAATATACGAGTCTAATATATTGGTTTACTAATTTTTCATTCGATGACATTTAATATTTAGCTTCGTTTTTATTGAAGTTTTAAATTATAAATAGAATTATATTTCTTTGAAAGGTAACTGCGTTCTTTTTAAAGTTTGTCAATTTTTTGAAATAAATCATTCTTGCATCTTGTGTATCTTATTCTTTATTAGTCCTCAGCTTCAGTAGTAGATTAGAAATAAGGTCTGATATTATAAGTCATATATTGAGATCTTCGGTATATTAACTGGTATAGTGAAGCCTTGAAACTTTAACCGTGTGCTGTATAAGAAGAATTGCATATGTTGGCTTGTTTATCTACATATATACGGGAAACTATAATCACTTCATCATATTAAATGAACCTTATAAATAATTTTTTCGGAAAAGAATTAGATTCAATACCTTGGAACACCTTTAAACTTGTTAAATACAGATAAATGTAACATTTTTTCAAAGAGAATGTGACGAGGGTCATACTTTTATATTGTACTATTTGTCTATATTTGGAAATATGAATTTTCGAATGTACTTGTAATGTTGTGTATAACCGACCAGGAGCACTTTGACTTTATATACATTGCACTGTGAAAGACAATAAACTTAGTTTTCATCAATTTGCCTTTTGTACTTTTGTAAACAATCGACATTTATTTGTATTTGCTGATTTGCTTATTTACCTTGTATATGTAATATTCATATACATTTTTTTTCTTTTCGACCTATTCAGTATTGTATGCTATCGATTATTTTTTACCTTACGCAACCAGCTTAATTTAAAATGCGTATTGTGAAGTCTGAACACCTATTTCAGTAAAAAGAGCAGTCATGCTGGCTGGAAGTATGTTATTATTGATAAAATCATGTGCACACGTTTTCAGGAACTTCGTACTAAAATGATACCTATAGCTACCTGTGTTATATTGTATGTTATGCATGTATGATGTACCTGTATAACTGTAGAACATATACAGAGCTAATTATCATTTCATCAATCAATCAATACACAGCATAAGTTCTGGATTTCCGTCATTTAGAACACGGAATTTGACATAGATATGAATTAATAATCTCAAATGAGATAACTAGGGATATATAAACACGTTTGATGTTCAGTATGTCGGTTTATGTACTTGAGATGTCACATTGACCGAAACTGTTAATATCAGCAAGAGTTATGGGACTTTGAATGCCACAGGAGTTTGATAACCAGTGACATCCATTGCTATTTGCAAGTGGTATAGGTCTTTGAATGCTGACAACATCTCATTTTATTACTTTCAACACACTGCTATTTACCGTTGGATCTTTGCCAAATTTGATATATGGGTTTATGTACACGAGGCATTACATGGATTTGATTATCATTGAAATCTGTTCATATCTACAAGAGTTACGGGACTTCGAACTCTGGTACAAATGATCATCATGACAACATTCACAAATATTGTTGATTTTGGTGCTAACTGGAAAATCCAATATGGCCGCCATGGCCTCTGATTAGCTAAGACATTTTTGACTTCTTCTCAAGAATAATAACTTTTGCCATTGACGCATCACGAGGCCCTGAACAGGTGTTGTTTTTCCTGCAGATCAGAAGATCCAAAATGATCACAGTGGCTTCTGATTGGCTGAGACATTCTTTTATTTTCTTCTCAAGAATGGATAGTGTAATGGAGTACTAATTTGGTTCAAAATTATTATAAATAGGCGAGAGCTACGCAGTGCTACTTTTCATACTGCATTGGCATAGGAAACCTTCTGTGCAATGGCTTGTAAGAAAGGCCCTTTCTGGGCCTTTATCTTGAATGATGTCGTAATCAATTGTGACTTATCAAAATTGTTTAACCTCTTCTGATGCAATGGTGTACTGTGTTTTCCCCCCATAATTAATCATCAGTACCTTAATATTTTCCAGTGGCAATGATATTCATATTTATGAAAATTCTCATGAGGTTTTGTCGTATTGTTGCTTTATATCCTACCAACAGCCAGGGTCATTCAAGGATGTGGTGAAAGAAAGACGGAGTTCCCAATGAAAAAACACTGCAATGTGGTCAGTAAGACTGCCACACATAGACATCTAACCAGCGATCTAGAGGTGGAGGGCTGATGATAAAAATGCCTTAATCGTGCGTCCACCGTGGCCTCAGATAAAGGGAGTAATGTAAGGTAAAGTTACAAGCAAAAACAAGGGGGAAAAAATGAGGAAATATCACTGCAACAAAGACTGCATTCTTTTACTATGAATGCTGAATACACAGAAGTTGATTTACTCTCTGTAAAAGCCTTTGTAATATTTACCGAGTATTTATTAAGGATATTATGGACTTCACATCACTAGGTCATTGGTACCTAATTAATATTTCCTTGTGTTTTAGCTGTGTACGATATCAAGTTAAAAATCTGCAAAAATAATGTTTTTGGTTTTTTAACCAACTTTGCATCTATTCACTACTCGTAACATCACAATTAGAAAATTTTAACAGATTCCCTGTGTAATTTCGCAGATGGCATAATAATGATTGAAGCAGCCTTTTGTTTTAAGAGCAAATTATAATTAGTGTTCTAGACATGCATGGTATGTTGGAAAGATTGAAGATTCTCCGTTTGATAACCTGTATGTCCACATAGGACCAATACTATTCGATCTCGCTGCCCACCATTGTCTGATCTTGAAACTAAAACATCTTTTCCCTTCTTTTCTCTTCTTTCCGCTGTTTTAGCTCTGAATCATATGAAAGTTAAAAATTCCTCTATGAAACAATGGGAAAAAATCTTTTACTGTCAAAACCAACGTAGGAAGCTGTTCGCCGTTTGGCTTATCTGATCAAACCCAAAATCCACAGGGACCAACAAATGACCAAGGGAAATGTGAAAGATCTATTTAGTATTTAGGTAGGAATAATAAACTTCCATTGTCAAAATCCAGAATCCAAATCAGTCCCAACATATAAAAGGTACCGATGGGAATCTTCATATAGAATTTGAGAAAGATCCATGCAGTACTCTTTAAGAAATTACCATAACAATTTAACTTTAAACTATTAAAATCAAAGATTGACACATGTCAGTCATTTTGTTTCAATATTCACTGGGTAAGCTATATTATCCATATCATTGTCGCATATATCGTTATATACTTCATTTCACATCAAATCAACAGGGACAATAATTATTAAAAATTATTTTGGTAAATTCATAGTTATTCCAAGGTTCCTTACAGTTTTGGCATTGCTATATTTCATTAGCTCTGTAATCTGCATTATATTTGTAAAATGATATCTATCAATATATAATTTTCTTTCAGAAGTCAAAAAATGTAAGAAATAGTGAAATAATAAAACTCGCCTTTGTCTTTGGAATCGCAATGAGGACAATTGATTATCTTGGGGAAATAGAGCACATTCTTCTTAATGGAATGGTCTGAAACATTCTTATCTGTTATAGAAATTAGGTCTCATCCCCCTGGGGTGGGAGGGACGGGGCCAATTAGCGAAGTACCTGAAAAACGGTATTGGTCAGGTGAGCAATGCAGGCCTTTTGCCCTCTTGTTAGATATTCTATAGAAAACTGATGTTGAAGAATAAAAATATTACTATTTTATTTTTGTAAAAAAAGATTATGTAATTTCTGCATGACAGTAAGTGTTCATAACCTACAAAATCATTACTAAAAATCGATGCTTTTTCTCATTGTTTCAGTTACATTGTACTCTTTACTCCGCTAACAAAAAGCTTGGTGAAGCTTGGAATTCATTCAAAGCTAAATGAATAATTAAGACAAGACACATATAAACAGCACAACACTGGCACCAGACATATATACACAGTACAATACTAACACCAGACATATATACACAGTACAACACTGGCACCAGACATATATACAGAGTACAATACTAACACCAGACATATATACACAGTACAACACTAACACCAGACATATATACACAGTACAACACTAGCACCAGACACATATACACAGTACAACACTAACACCAGACAAATATACACAGTACAACACTAACACCAGACATATATACACAGTACAACACTAACACCAGGCATATATAAACAGTACAACACTGGCACCAGACATATATACACAATACAACACTAACACCAGGCATATATAAACAGTATAACACTAACACCAGACATATATACACAGTACAACACTAGCACCAGACCTATATACACAATACAGCACTAACACTAGACATATATACACAGTACAACACTAACACCAGACATATATACACAGTA